AGAGAGGACTGGGAGGGGATCTGATCAATACTTAGAAATATCTAAAGGGTGGGTGTCAAGAGGATGGGGCCAGACTCTTCCCAGTGGTGCCCAGCAACAGGACAAGGGGCAACAGGCCCAAACTGGAACACAGGAAGTTCCATCTGAACATGAGGAAAAAGTTCTTCACTGTAAGGGTGACAGAGCACTGGAACGGGCTGCCCAGGGAGGCTGTGGAGTCTCCTTCTCTGGAGATCTTCAACACCTGCCTGGATGCCATCCTGTGCAACCTGTTCTAGGTGATCCTGCTTTAGCCGGGGGGTTGGACTAGGTGATCTCCAGAGGTCCCTTCCAACCCCTACCAATGTGTAAATCTGTGAAAGGCTGAGAGGTGGGACTGCTCAGCCTGGAGAAGAGAAGGGTCAGGGGGATCTTGGAGTCTCCTTCTCTGGAGATCTTCAACACCTGCCTGGATGCCATCCTGTGCAACCTGTTCTAGGTGATCCTGCTTTAGCCGGGGGGTTGGACTAGGTGATCTCCAGAGGTCCCTTCCAACCCCTACCAATGTGTAAATCTGTGAAAGGCTGAGAGGTGGGACTGCTCAGCCTGGAGAAGAGAAGGGTCAGGGGGATCTTGTCAAAATATAAATACCTAGAGGGAGGGTGCAAAGAGGACAGAGCTAGGCTCTTCTCAGTGGTGCCTGGTGACAGGACCAGAGGCGATGGGCACAAACTGAAACACAGGAGGTTCCCTCTGAACATAAGAAAAAATGTGAGGGTGACCGAGCACTGGCACAGGTTGCCAAGAACGGTTGTGGAGTCACCAAAACCGTGACACAGGGCACAGTGCTGTGCAACCAGGTGACCCTGCCTGAGCAGTGGGTGTGGACTAGAGGACATCCAGAGGTCCCTTCCAACCTCAGCCACTCTGCGATTCTAACAACAGGAAAAGAATCTACCTCTTGTGATAGTGCTTGAGGTTTTGTACACAGTTTGTCATGCATTAAGAAGGCAGACTTTGTTATTGGGACCTTGCTGTCTGAACAGAAACCCAAAGATGCAAAATACATTCCCTACAGTCTTTTCTTAGTTGATGTGACTTTTTTGTGACCTTCGATAGACTGAGGTGTGGGTGGCATTTGTCTTTAAAGTTTAAGTCTTGGATAGCACTCTCTGACCACAGGCTATCTCATCTTGAATGCTTGTTACAACTCTAAAAATCTATTTTCTGCTCATTAGGTGTCTCATCTTACTAATGAAAATTTTATCCACATAAATAGAAAATTTTAATTTGTTGTTTTGCATGTATTCTGTTACCTTCTGGGGATGACCTTTGAAACGTGTATTAACTTGTTTTCCATTCAGAGTTGGCTGGAAGCAATAGAAGACCACTCTGCATATAGCACTCATTACTGCACACAGGAACAGTTGAGTAGTGATGATGAGGAAGATGATACAGTATCTGTTACAGACCTACAGGATACTCTGAAAGTATGTACTGAGTACTTATTTGGCTCATGCATCTAGGCAATTGCAAATTAGTACTGTTTTGCATTGAAATACTTCAGTGTACTCTTGCCTAAAAGTAATGATTCTTTCCATGGATGCATAAATGCTGCTTTTTTTTGCACTGCTTACTGTCATGTATTCCTGTTTGGACTGCATGCGTAAAACGACATGTTTATCATAGCTATAGGGTTGTGGTTTTCACTTTTTAGCAGCACTACTGCAAGGCAGAAAGTTGCTTGAGACTTTCAGCCAGGAGAGGGAGCTTTGTGTACTTGGTGACACCAAGGCTGGAGGATAACAAAGCTAACCTTCAGCAAGCTCTACCTTTATTAAATAGGCAATGAAATGGCTTAGAAATGATCCTTTAACACTTAAGGTCACACTAGATGTGTTGTACAGTGATTGTTCAGACCTGCGATGGAAATGAGTCGTCTTTGATAATTCTAGCATTCAGCCTGTGATTCTTGCTTTTTGCCATACATATACTTCTGTCGTGGTTTTACCCCAGCCGGCAGCTGAGCACTACGCAGCCACTCATTCACTCCCTCCCCATCGGGATGGGGGAGAGAATTGGAAAAGTTAAAGTGAGAAAACTCATGGGTTGAGATAAAGACAGTTTAACAGGTAAAGCAAAAGCCGTGCGCACAAGCAAAGCAAAGCAAGGAATTCATTCACCACTTCCCATGGGCAGGCAGATGTTCAGCCATCTCCAGGAAAGCAGGGCTCTGTCACGCGTAACGGTCACTAGGGAAGACAAACACCATCGCTCCGAACGCTGCCGCCCCTCTCTCTTCCCCCAAGCTCCTTATAAACTGAGCATGACGTCATATAGTATGGAATATCCCTTTGGTCAGTTGGGGTCAGCTGTCCTGTCTGTGTCTCCTCCCAACTTCTTGTGCACCCCCAGCCATCCCACTGGCAGGGCAGTGCAAGAAGCAGAAAAGGCCTTGGCCCCGTGCAAACACTGCTCAACAATAGGTCCATAGAACAAAAACATCTCTACATTATCAAGGCTGTCTCCAGCACAAATCCAAAACATATCCCCACACTAGCTACTATGAAGAAAATCAATCCTCTCAGCTGAAACCAGGACAACTTGTAAAACCTTTTACTTTAAGGGAAAGTTGACACTGCAACGCAAAAATCTTCATGTGACTCAGCTCTAGGTGGCTTGTCCCATACCTTTTGGTACAAGAACTCAAGGTAGAAAATGGCAGAACAGAGATGGGAGAATAACTGATGCTGGCAGTTCCCAGCAGCCTACAGAAGAAGATGGTATTATCTGATAACTGTCTCCAAGTTTGGAATAAGATGTCCAGGCTTGGAATATGATCTTTGGATGGGTTCCTGCATGTCACTGTACTTGCCATACATCAGTTAACCTATGCATTTGTTTATTTTGGCCTTAGGTTTTCAAAGAACAAGCAATGGCTTTTAGAGGTTTTCAAACTTTTTATAAAAAAAGAGAGGGAATGCAAAAGCAGTACATGCAACATAACTTTGGGGTTTAGTTTGCTATGCTAATTTAAACAAGTCGGTCAGCCATGTAATGTGCATGAATCTTCTGTTTGCTTGTGTGTCTTTGAAGGTACTTCAAGTAGTTTCTTTCAGTTCAACTGTAGTGGTCTCCGTCACTGGGAGTCTTTAATGCTCTCCAAATTTAAAGATTTCAGTATAGTTAAGAGAATAAGCATATACTTTTCTTAGAACAAGGTAGTTCTGAACTAGCTATCCTTGCTGTCTTTCAGAAAGCACAAGCATGCCAACAAAGACTCAGTAAAGAGATTTCAGACTTTCTTGCAATGGTTAAATCTTTGGATGCTACAAAAGGTAAAACTTACTCTTCTAAAGTGCAGTTTGTTACCAGGCAACTAATCTTTTCTTTTAAGCAGCACATGCTTTAATTTCACTGAAATTAAATTTTCAGGAGCTTGAAAATATAGGACTGTTTTCCTTATTGAAAAAGATTCAAATAAAGTAACATTATAATAATTGGTAAGAACTAAGATTTCAGATTTGGAGAAACAACTGAGTGCATTGAAAGAAATTTTATTAGTGGCTGTAAATGTAGCGAAACAGCTTTTAGATACAGCGCTTACTGAATAGTATCATAGGAATAATATGTAGGGTTTCACTTCCACGGTTTTAAAAAAATCTGTAGTTGGTAGCTTATTGCAGAGCATAAGTGTCCCCTGACAGGTACCAAAAGCTAGCTGTCTGGCTTTCCCCTCAAAAAAACCTTGTCTTGTAGTGAATAGAAACACAATGAAAGCTGAGGCACAATAAACAAGATATGACTTGAAACCACAAAACTATTCAGAGGACTGCAGGCACGGTGTGATGGGATATATTCCACAGACTTCTGCCATGAGTTTTATGGCAGGTTTGAACTCCTCAGGCTTTATTTTAAATAGTAACTCTTAAATTAACATGTATCAGGATTTTTGCAGCGTAACTGCTAAAAAACAGCACAGACATCAAGCTGTTAGAGATTAGAACTTGTTTCATTTAATGCCTCAAACATGTACAAAAGTTGCTTGTGTATTAAACACACAAAGGAGTTCTGTAAGAGCATTTAACTGTTGCTCCTTTGCATCTCAGTCCTAGTTACATATTGTGACTGAAATTTAGAAGCTTAAACTAGAGAACAAGTTGTTTATCTGTACAAATCTGTAATAGAACATGAGTTTTGGGAGGAAAAAAGTTCTCCCTCTTCCATCCCCGTGCTTTCCCAAAAGGAGTCTGAAATACAACTTTTTCTGCATATGCTACTGGGGTAAGTTACTGTGTGATGTTCACCTATCCTGCACTAACTGAATTTTTACTGAATTTTTATTTCATAAAGAAAAGTAAGGTTTCATAATACATAAGAGTGTTTTATTGGGAAGTCTTTACAATTATACAATAAAACTGGTTTTTTTAACAAAAAGCAGTTTCAAAATTAGTACGAGGGATAAATTCTCTTACTAGGTGGAGGGGCAGTTTCTCTTACCCCATATTGCTTACCTGAAGAACTAATGAGGACATCTTTTCTTTTTTTTTTTTTTTAAATATACAACTTGAGTAACCAAAACCCTTAGTAAAGCAAAATCAGATACTATCTTTTTCCTAGAAGCTGCTAGTCTTGGCCAATAGCAGTAGTAAGTTCCTTTTTTCCTGCCAATGAACATTTGTAACTTGATGGGTGAGTGAATTGTTTCCAGGTTCACGTGTAACCTCTGTAGGTCTCAACAGAGAACTGCTGCAGCTCTCCAGTTCTCGCATTGGGTTGATGTGGTATCTTGAAATAGTCGAGTAGTCGAGTCCTCTGGCTCCAGAAGAATGCAAATTTCTGAATTAGAAGTTCCACATGGAAGGACACTTAAAAGCTTTTGAGTAATATAAGAATGGCTATTTTGGGACCTGGTATGTTTGAGATTTATGCATGTTACTTATTACAAATAAAGCTGTGTCCTGCTCCTGTAATGAATGTGCTACCCCTCCTTCTAGAGGTCCTAGTTGTTCTTGATAGCTGCTGTAAGTAGAGGCTCCTACTTCCAGTCAGTAGTGAGCTTTGGTATCAAAGACAACAATTAGTGTGTGGATATGTACCATATCTTGTGTCCTGCACAAGCAGTATAAGTAGCAAAATGAATTCAAGAACTGTCACTGCTGGACCTCTTAATCTATTGGTCTGACATCAACTTGAAGCACCTGTATTTCTAAATGGTGTCAACTGCTCCTGGAGTCTGTGGCTGCTAAATGAACACTTAGTTTAATTGCAACAAGTATGCTTCCTGAGAGAATGGCTTGCTTGACTTCTGCGGAATTGCTGCACATCACAAAACTTCAAAGATGAACTCAAATAACTTCTACCAGCTGATGGGGTTGTTGTAGTTTCCTGCTGGTTCTAGACATGTAGTCCCTTCTATAAATGGTCATAGAAGTTAGGATGTGGGGTTGCATTGCTCTCCAAGCTGTACTACTTATCCATAAGATGAGTCCATGAAAATAAGACGTCATTCCTCTTTTATTGATCAGTGTCCTTGTAACTCCCCATCTGTTTTTCAAATCAAAATCTTCAGCTGCACTGTGGTAAGCTGCTTCTCTTCTATATACCATGGCAGAAGGCAAAAAAAAGCTACACTTCTCACTTTATATTAAACCAGTGCACTATCCTTTGTATTTGAATTCTGTCACCTGGCAACTCTGAGGCTTTTAGATCTAGAAAGGGGGTAAAAGGAGATTGTTGATGGTTGCTTTTCCAGTGTCTTGCTGCCATAGCTTACTGCCTCTGCTTTCTAAGTCATGCTGAAAGAGAAACTCAATCCAATCATGTGCCATTTATACCAGTACTAGGGACAGGATGCAAAAGAAAGAACTTACGCTCCTTCAGTGCCGCTTTTGCTTGCCCTTTCCTCACACAGATTTTACAGGCACCAGCCTTCCTGTAGAATATGAATGTCTGTATTAGAGGAAAACATAATTAAAAGAATCCTGTATCTTACAATGTCTGCCTAATGCTAACAACCTTTTGTGCTTTCAGGAATATCTTCTCCCCTCCTGCAAAAAGTTGATGTGGTCTCTGAAGTATCCCAGGAAACGTGTGAGGCACTGACTGACTGCCTCAACCTATTCACAAGGCAAGAAGGGGTATGTATTGTGCTGTGTGGGTCTATAAAGGGACTGAATAGTTTATTTTGCTAGTTCCTTGCTTACCTGTTATAAAAATAAATGCACACCCCCATTGAACTTCATATTGTTGGTAGGCTGTCTTTTTGCATGCTGAATGTCTGAGGAAAACCATGCTTCTAGAGAAAGAGTAGCTAAGTTCCTCTACAAAAGGGTATCTTAGTATTTCAGTGTTGAGAAGAGACTCAGATTTTGCATACAAACTATTGCTTGTAAAGTTCAAACTGAGTGCTTGAATTGAATAAAGCAGTTGCTTTGCTGATTTGAAGGCTAAAATATTGAGAACATTCATCCTTTTTTTGTGCTTGCTAACTGAAGTGTTGAACAGCGTTGCTTCTGAATTTGTTTTTCAGGCCATGTGCTTAGTGGGTGTGCGAATGCAATCTATTGAACTGCTGGCTTTCCCAGTGACAAATATCTTGCATGGTGTTAAACATAATGCAAATACTTCAATCTGGAAGTATATGTCAAACTGATTAATTCCTGGGGTAGGAGATCTGGTATTTTTCTCCCCTCTAGAAGATACCCTAGTACCATGGAATAAATTTGTCTTCCTGTATTGTGGTAACAGTAATCCCTCAGTTAAGCTCTTGTTGTCGTCAGTAAGCTGTGTTTCGAAATGAGGTTTGTGTTGGTGCTGTTAGTCTTCCAGTTATTTAACAGTGAGCTGCAAACACTGGCTCCATTGTCTAGGTTTCGTTCAAGATTTTTTTTCCATTCCTTTCCCAAGCCTTTTTGTCTCCAGTCACAAGTCTTCTAGACTTACTTGAGTCAAGCTCTAGCAGAGTGGAACAAGCATTGGTTTTTTACATTGAGGTTTTTTTCTTTAAGAAAATCTAATATTACAGTTGCCAGTTCCATTTGTGGATGAGGGGGCAATTGTTACAACAGTGGGTGTATAGTGTTAGTATTCCTTAATTGTGTTGGCATCTTGCTTCAAGCCAGACTAATATAGCTTTCCAGAGTAGAGTGTGGCAAAACATATGGTGAAATTGTAATTTCACCTTACTTGAACTTGGACAGTCTCAGTAGGTGTTAGGCCTTATTTCAATCTGGAAGCACATAGATTTGGGCACAGAGGGATAGGCTGAAGTGTGAACTTGAATTTCCACCATAGCTAGTGAAAGCAGTCGGTCATGACAGGGAGAAGATGTGATCCTGGCGAGTTTTGTCTTGGTATTTTTAAACTTCAAGCTATTGCAGTTCCAGAATATAATGTATGCTTCTAAAGGTGTCATAAGGGAAAATTACAGCAGCAATCTCTTTCTAAGACTTGAACCTTTCCAAAAGGTTATGTTCCTTGAGCATTACTGTTCTTAAACCCACAGCATTTGGTGGTGTTGCCTTCTGTAAGACAGGGCCCTGTTCTTTGCCATTCAGTGTTGATTTCTGGACTGTAGTTCTGTTTGCATTCCAAAAGCAATATTGGGTTCTGCATTAGCAAGTTATAGGACCCTAATTAAATGCTTTAATATTCCTTCCAAGTATATTGAATAGTAAAGCATAACTGAAGTATCAATCTCTAATATAAAAACGTGTTTAAAATACTCTTTAAAAAAAAAATATTTCAGCGTTTTGTTTCTCTTCTGATCATGATCTTGATAATGAAGTTAAGGCTTAGGTGTTGTAAATGTTTCAGAACAACTGCCATGAATCCTCTGCTCTGGCAATAATTGGCTGCTGTTAACTTAGAACTGCCAAACTACTTTGAGGAAGGATAACTCTACAACTGTTGTTTAAAAGCTGCTTTCCTGCCTGTCCTGTTGTCTCCAGGCCTCTGTTCATTGTCCACCAGACAGTTTGACTGCAGCTTGTCTTAAAGGGACTCCCTGGTTAGAACCTCTTCTGAGTAGAGGAATGACTTGCTCCACAATACCTTTCAACTGTATTGTGCATCTCCCATGAAATCTGGTTCTCTCTAGAACAAACATGTTCTCAAGCTTGGTACCTTTTTATCTTGCCTCTTTAAGGAGAATTCTTTTCCTGTCTAACTTAAATTGTCAGCATACCAGAAGCCACTGCTTGACTAACGGGGAGACCCTGCTAACTTAAGGGTAACCACAATGAACATGCTTTTTTTGCCTTTTAGTGAAGACGTTTTGTTTTGTATTGCCCATCTCTGCTGTGTAAATTGTAGCATGATTGTGTACTATGCAAATGAAACTAAAGGAAAAAGAAAAGATGGGTTCAACTGTCTTCCACTTGCGTTAGAAATGGTGCAGCAACGTGATATCCAAATGTTCCATCTGTCCACCGCTTATCCTTTCCCCAGCGTGGCGTCTCCCCCGGTGCTGCCACCCGTGCCGGAGAAGGCGTGACCTCACCGCTCCGCACGGCGGGAGCTGCTGTGACGCCATAGAGG